GGAAATCTCTGTCAGAAGTGTTCGGTCCGACTTGGCCCGGGCGGTCAAAATCTACTTTAAACACACAGATCATCAGTTTATTACATTGTTGAAGGTGCATACGTTTGTGGACATTTGAGATCTGCCTAGATATGCGCGTTTCGTTTTATTATTCTGCAATCCATTTTTACTATTACCCGCTGGCCCGGCCCGGCCCGACTTTTCTTGGCCCGACTTTTAGGCAATCCCGGCAATATGTACATTGCCTGCGTGAATCAATCTTCATACATACGTATTGACTGAAATTGTCAGTCAATATACATATTGCTTGATTATAGACATTGAGGGTTGGTTGGATGGTTTGTTGTTGAACGCCGCACTCACCAATATTCCAGCCATATGACGGCGGTTTGTAATTAATCGAGTCTGGACCAGACGATCCAGTGACTGGTATCATGAGCATTGATCCGAACAATTGGGATACGATGACATGAATCAACCAAGTCAGCGAGCCTGACCCCCGATTTCGAAAGTCGCCCCTTACGTCCTGAATGAAAGGAAGGCACTGTTACATCTGATAAGAATATTGACACCATACTCTTGAGTCAGTACCTACCCTGCATGTGGATCTACGCAATTGGGATCGATGATATGCATCAAACAAGTCAGCGAACCTGACGACCCGATCCCGTCAGTCACCTCTCACGACAAGCATAGTCGCCTTTTACGGCAAGCAAAGGTTGCTGAAGACCTGTTTTCCCCCGGATCATCACGGGTCAGACATTGACTGTTACATATATACCAGCTCACACTGTGATTCTTACTCCCCTAGTCAGAATGCCAGGTCGAACTATAATGATTCCTCCGTTACTGGATATACCAGTCCACATTATGATGCTTCTCTCCAACTGGATATGACAGCCACAACAATGATGCTTCTTCCTTGATTGGATATACCATCCCACACGATTGATTGTAAAGTTTGAGTAACATATTAAGCCCTAAAATCGGGGAACAGCTGCCCATGCTCCACAAATCACGATAAGGATTTGCGTCCCTTAGGTGTGTCAAGATCCTGTGATGTGTTGGTTCGAGTCATTGTCTGCCACTGCAAGGATCAGCTTCCTTTGTATGTAGAGTTCAGATTGTATGGGATGTTGCTATGGTAACGTTTAAACATTGTGCACGTCCGGCTTCCCTGTCACCCAAAGAACCATTGTTTACGTTTCTCCCTTGTAAAGCGACCTGCTCCAGCGATAAAACAAGGACTAGTGGGCTCGGTTTCAGTATATTGTGCACACAGAATACAATAAAAAAGAAACTAGAGTGTGATTAGATTTAACACTTTTAATAACTTGATTGAGAATTTTGGCGAGTGTTGGGCTGCTGCTGCTGCAGCTGGTGGATGCCACTGGGAAAGTTCCTCTGCAGGAAGATATTTTATGTGCGCCTCTTGTTTTGACAATTTGAGATACCGGTGTTGTGTGTGTGTTGAAGTGTGTGTGAAGAAGTGTGGACCGGTCTCAGATGCAAGCCATCTAGGATTTTGTCCCATACCCGCTGTCCCTGATTCACCCTGATTCACCTCCCTAATAATCCATACAAAGAGAGATATATTGCTGGGTCAAGCACATGCACTACCAAATTTCTGCCTCAAATATTAACCATAATCCGAAACACAATCATGGTAGGACTTTATTCACAGTATTGTATGGTCCAGACTCGATTATTTACAGACCGCCGTCATATAGCTGAGTGCGGCGTTAAAAAACCATCAAACAAACAAACAAATCATTGGAACTGCAGAAAATTAGATCTGAGAAAAATATCGCGTGGAAACGTGATGGCCGTAAAATACAGTGTATTTGTTTGTTTGTTTGTTGTATAACGCTGCACTCAGCAATATTCCAGCAATATGACGGCGGTCTGTAAAATAATCGAGTCTGGATCAGACAATTCAGTGATTGACATCATGAGCATCGATCTACGCACTTGGGATCGATGACATGTATCAACCAAGTCAGCGAGCCTGACCACGCGATCCCGTTAGTCGCCTTTTACGACAAGCAAAGTCGCCTTATACGGCAAGTATGGGTTGCTGAAGAAATACAGTGTAAACAATTTGATGCGAATTGAATCTGTTTTTGACTATAGAAAAGGGGAGTATCTTCATGCACTGAAAGAAGAAATAAGCACATCAGAAGCTGGATGGGAAAGTGCGTCGATGTGAGAACAATAAGCTGGCTACAATTCCGACGATGAAAGAAGGATGTTCCGAGCTGAAGCCAGAGCCGCTCAGAAAATTGAGAAGGAGCGATCCAGGTTTTACAGGTTTTCTCCGTATAGGAAATCTACAGCGACTGATACCCACTCTTTGGCTAACCTTCTAACACAGCATGCCTTGTCCCAGCGGCCCTTTCGAACAAACTATAGAACAGGCACGTGCTTCGCGGGCGGAGACCCGTCACACAATCGAGTCTGGATCAGACAATCCAGTGATTGGCATCATGAGTATCGATCCACGCAATTTGGATACGATGACATGCATCAACCATGCCATCGAGCCTGACCTCCCGATCCCGTTAGTCGCCGCTTACGACAAGCATGGGTAGCTGAAGATCAATTCTAACCCGGACCTGAGCGGGTATAGAGAATAAGTGGAAACTACAATGGAGAGATGATTATATAATGAAATAATGTCCGACCATAAGAAGGATTGTGACAGGAGAAATATGAATAAGAACATCTTTATTATACGTTTTAGGGTTACATCATTCGGTGAATGTATATTTTCATGAATTCATTGATGTGCATTTGTTACAGACAGATTGAGAAACCAGTCATTTCGTGAAATGCATGAAAAGTTCCGTCATTTCATGAACTGCTTGAAAGGGACAATCGTTTCATGAAATAAATAAACATTCTAGTCATTTCATGAAATGGCTAAAATAAAAGGCAAACAGTTCATGAAATGACTAAAACTGTTATCTTGAACCATTATGTGAAAAATTATTAGGATCAGTAAGTTTCACATCTTCTGTTGGAACAATTCAGGAGATGGTGATCAGAGAGGTATCAAATAGTTATTTGTTATTGGAGTTCAAACTACACTGACAACGGCTGTTGCGTTTCAGATTTGCTTTGTGACACTTGCTTCTGTTTGTCCGACACTTCTTGGTTCCCCTGCAGCAACGCTTGACAAAGCCTTAACCACCACAAGGGGGCACGGTCGTCTTGGGCGCCGCGATTTGCTGTGCAGAGTTGCGTCCCTTGGGCACGCCAGAAACCTATGATTGTGGGTTCAAATCCCTGTTCACCCCGATTATGTTTCTAGGTTTGTCAGCACCATATCCGTGCTCGTGGGTTTCACCGAAATGGTAAACGTCTGAGACCTGCATCACTTCGGGCTTTCCTCCAACATTAACCTGACACGTCTTGATATAACTGGAATACTGTTAAAACGGCCTCAAACCCAACTCACTCACTCACCTTATCCACCACCAATGGATAACTGTGTCGGTGCTTATCTGAGTGAGGCACGTGTGTCCCTGTTGTTCAAGGACAAATGCCAAATTGATTTCTTGATAAGCTGCCATTCAGGATAAAGCATTTTGTTCCAAAGCTGTACTGATCATTTTCATTCCTGTCCAGGATAGTTCTTACTTCTAAGGTCTCCTCTGCCACCTGTGGTATAGGTACAGCAACAGTTTCCCCTGTTTCACCTGCAATTAATGTAATGCAACTCTTCGTCATGCGCACTGCATGTAACACCTGAGCTCTGCTTTGGCACCAGATCACTGCACTTTAATCTGTTCTTGTCTCTGGTCAAACTCAGTTGTCTCAGGATAAGAAGGTTCAGTTGTCACAGAATCAGATGGTTCAGTTGTCACGGGATCAGATGGTTCAGTTGTCACAGGTTCAGATGCTTCAGTTGTCACAGGATCAGATGCTTCAGTTGTCCCAGGATCAGATGGTTCAGTTGTCCCAGGATTCACATGGTTCAGTGGTCGCAGATGAAGGTGCTTGCTGAGCCCCCAACATCAGGTAAGTGGCAACAAGCTGAAATGTTCCTTCTCCTGCTGACTTGGAGATCAGGGAACGTATGATGCAAAATCAGTGATGACACCAGATGACACCAGGTAAGAAAAACCCTTAACAAATAGGTGTGTGTGTGTGAGGGGGGGGGGGGGGGGGACATAGAGAATAACCAGTTTAGATTATTCAGCAAAACAGATTCCACTTTGCGTAAAGGGCAACATTTCTGTAAACTTTTTATGAATGGAGTACTGAATACAATCTATAAAGGTCAGTGTCGACATGCTTGGGCTGGTGCTATTATTGTATTGTTAGAGGGTAGTGTCACACGATATGCACAAGAGGAAGTAGAAATGAAATCAGAAAACTTTAAATTTTAAAACATCATTTATTACAAAGAGAAAAAATATATACATATATATCTACTAACTACTCCTACTAATGCTACCTTACTCCACCAGTAAACTGTAACACTGTCCCACAACCACTGCTTCTACTACAACTCAACTAAACTAATGTCTGCTACTATTAATACTAATACCCCTACTACTTGTCTACACATACAAACATTGGTACAACAGCCATCGTTGTGCTATACCACAGCAAATCAAATACAATTACATATACACACAATGCTATCTCAAAGGTTGAGGTATAAAACATATCACATCTTATTTCACATCACAATCATATATATAGTGATAACAGAAATGTGTAAGGGCATTGTCCAACAACAAAATATAGTTCCGGTCTATCACGACACACTTGGAATGTTAAAGATAACGGATAGTCACTTGAAAATTGTCCTCCACAACAAACAATGGGAATGTTGAATTGACCTCAGTCAATGTATTATCTTTGAAGACCACAGTTCATTAGTGAACACTGTATTCACTCACTATACTCTGGACCTGTGACTTGGTTGATGCATGTCATCTTATCCCAACAGATCAATGATCATGATGTCAATCACTGGATTCTCTGGTCCAGACTCGATTATTTACAGACCGCCCTCATATAGCTGGATTACTGCTGAGAGCGGCATTAAACAACAACGAAACAAACAATAAACTCTGAATGCTACATTCACTCACTACACTCTGATACAACACTTTGAAGGCAACATCTACACTGACCACAGCAACCGTGTGGTAGGTCATGCCTGCCTCCCTTCAGACGTTCTCCAAGCTACACATCTAGGTGCGAACCAAGTTGTCCCCAGGGTAGAAAGGAATGTCCTGCCTGTATGACATGTACACTGACCACAGCAACCTTGTGGTAGGTCATGCCTGCCTCCCTTCAGACGTTCTCCAACCTACACATCTAGTTGTCACCGGATCAGATGGTTCACATGTCGCTGGGAGTCACATCAAACACTACTACTTCAAAGTAATTAGAACTCGTCTAAATACACTGTATACATACTGGTGTATATGTACATACAACTACCACTAATAATAATAGTAATGGCTAAATAATATTTTTAAAAACCCCTTTTTGGCAATTTTACTCCATATTTTCATTTACAATATACAATATGCTAAACAACATTAAACAAATATGTATAATACATTCACATTTTTAATAAACTACACAGTTTTACAATCCACGAATGTTAAAAAGTATGAAGTACATGTAGTTGCGCCCAACCTTGGCCTAAGGTGTAGTGGTGGTCTGTGGCGTTCTCGCGCTCCACTACAAGATACACATCTGACACTAGACGTGTAACCCTTTACATAACTATTCATTCGCACGACAAGACATTTGATTGGCATGGGGATGGTAGTGGCATGGTGTGGGGCGGTATCACACATGGCATGGGAACAGATTTGATTATTGTCAATGGATATTTCCCTCGCCAACGATGTTGTACTATTAGCTGGAATCACCTGCAAAAAGTCTGAACTACTAGATGGCAATGTCAAGCCACATCATACCAAGGTCTTCACCGATTATCTCCGACGAGGAGGCAGACGGACATTGGAATGTCGATAAGTCCCTTTAGATGTCTCGCCCATATTTGGATGCAATCGTTTGGTCATAGCGTTTATCTGCGTTGTCCAACAGCATCTATGGGGAACAACGCACGAGACACTTCCTTAAACAAATAACGTTGTCCAATTTATGATTCGAGCGTATGTTCGAATGTGCAGAAATGACGTCATGATAGAACGATGCAAGATATTTTTGCTTTGACAGGAAATCAAAAACACAAATTAGTACTTTGTCACGATTTGTTCTTCCCTGTCAGACATGACTGCTGCCCTGTGTTGCAACCATGAGGCCAAACACTATATCATCATGGTCATTTCTGTCGTCGATGTTCACCACATTCGATGTTCACAAATGCTTGGACATGCCTCACCATGTCTGCATCTCCTCCAAGAGAGGCCACATGAAGAATGTTGTTTCTGTTATCATCGACTAATAATACATCAGCTCCTTCTCTCACAAGTAAGTCAAACACTTGTCTGTGTCCCTTCTGTGCTGCCATCATCAGGGGTGTCCTCCCGTACTGCCCCCTACAGTTGATGTCTGCAACCTTCTGTGAGAGGACATACTTCACCTTCTCGATATGTCCTCCAAGACAGGCAACATGGAGGATGTTGCTTCCGTTATCATCCACTAGTGATACATCAGCTCCTCCTCCCACTAGTATGTCAAACACTTGTCTGTGGCCCTTCCTTGCTGCCTTCATCACGGGTGTCCACCCATACTTCCCCCTACTGTTCATGTCAGCAACCTTCTGTGAGAGGACATGCTTCAGCATGCCCACATGTCCTCCATGACAGGCCATATGGAGGATGTTGTTTCTATCAACACCCACTAATGACACATCAGCTCCTTGGGTCACAAGTAAGTCAAACACTTGTCTGTGTCCCTTCACTGCTGTCACCATCAGGGGTGTCCGCCCATTCTGCCCCTTACCGTTCATGTCTGCATCCTTTTGTGAGAGGACATACTTCACCATGTCCACATGTCCTCCAAGACAGGCGATATAGAGGATGTTATTTCTATCAACACCCACTAATGATACATCAGTTCCTTCTCTCACAAGTAAGTCAAACACTTGTCTGTGTCCCTTCTCTGGTGCCATCATCACGGGTGTCCGCCAGTACTGCCCCCTACCGTTCATGTCTGCAACCTTCTGTGAGAAGACATACTTCACCATGTCCATATGTCCTCTAAGACAAGCCAAATGGAGGATGTTGTTTCTATCAACACCCACTAATGATACATCAGCTCCTTCTCTCACAAGTAAGTCATACACTTGTCTGTGTCCCTTCTGTGCTGCCACCATTACGGATGTCCGCCCGTCCTGCCCCCTACTGTTGATGTCTGCAACCTTCTGTGACAGGACATACTTCACCATGTCCATATGTCCTCCAAGACAGGCAACATGGAGGATGTTGCTTCCGTTATCAACACCTAATGATACATCAGCTCCTCCTCCCACTAGTATGTCAAACACTTGTCTGTGTCCCTTTTCTGCTGCCATCATCACGGGTGTCCGCCTGTACTTCCCCTACCATTCATGTCTGCAACCTTCTGTGAGAGGACATACTTCACTATGTCCACATGTCCTCCAAGACAGGCCACATGGAGAATGTTGTTTCCGTCATCATCCACAAATGATACATCAGCTCCTTATGTCACAAGTAAGTCAAACACTTGTCTGTGTCCCTTCTCTGCTGCCATCATCAGGGGTGTCCGCCCTTACTGCCCCCTACAGTTCATGTCTGCAACCTTCTGTGACAGGACATACTTCACCATGTCGATATGTCCTCTGAAACAAGCCACATGGAGGATGTTGTTTCTATCAACACCCACTAATGATACACCAGCTCCTTCTCTCACAAGTAAGTTATACACTTGTCTGTGTCCCTTCTCTGCCGCCATCATCAGGGGTGTACGCCCGTACTGCCCCATACCGTTGATGTCTGCAACCTTCTGTGAGAGGAAATACTTCACTATGTCCACATGTCCTCAAAGACATGTCATATGGAGGATGTTGTTTCCGTTATCATCCACTAGTGATACATCAGCTCCTTCTCTCACAAGTAAATCAAACACTTGTCTGTGTCCCTTCTCTGCTGCCATCATCAGGGGTGTCCGCCCGTACTGCCTCCTACGGTTGACGACTGCAACCTTCTGTGACAGGACATACTTCACCATGTCGATATGTCCTCCAAGACAGGCAACATGGAGGATGTTGCTTCCGTTATCATCCACTAATGATACATCAGCTCCTCCTCCCACTAGTATGTCAAACACTTGTCTGTGGCCCTTCCTTGCTGCCTTCATCACGGGTGTCCACCCATACTTCCCCCTACTGTTGATGTCAGCAACCTTCTGTGAGAGGACATGCTTCAGCATGCCCACATGTCCTCCATGACAGGCCATATGGAGGATGTTGTTTCTATCAACACCCACTAATGATACATCAGCTCCTTGTGTCACAAGTAAGTCAAACACTTGTCTGTGTCCCTTCACTGCTGCCACCATGACGGGTGTCCACCCGTACTGCACCCTGCCGTTCATGTCTGCATCCTTTTGTGAGAGGACATACTTCACTATGTCCACATGTCCTCCAAGACAGGCCATATGGAGGATGTTGTTTCTATCAACACCCACTAATAATACATCAGCTCCTTCTCTCACAAGTAAGTCAAACACTTGCCTGTGTCCCTTCTCTGGTGCCACCATCAGGGGTGTCCGCCCGTATTGCCCCCTACCGTTGATGTCTGCAACCTGGTGTGAGAGGACATACTTCACTTTGTCCACATGTCCTCCAAGACAGGCCACATGAAGGATGGTGTCTCCGACAGCATCCACTAATGATATATCAGCTCCTTCTCTCACAAGTAAGTCAAACACTTGTCTGTGTCCCTTCTCTGCTGCCATCATCACGGGTGTCCGCCCATATTGCCCCCTACTGTTGATGTCTGTAACCCTCTGTGACAGGACATACTTCACCATATCCATATGTCCTCCAAGACAGGCCACATGGAGGATGTTGTTTCTATCAACAACCAGTAATGATACATCAGCTCCTTGTGTCACAAGTAAGTGAAACACCTGTCTGTGTTCCTTCACTGCTGCCATCATCAGGGTGTCCGCCCGTACTGCCCCCTACCGTTCATGTCTGCATCCTTTATTGAGAGGACATACTTCACCATGTCCACATGTCCTCGAAGACAGGCCATATGGAGGATGTTGTTTCTATCAACACCCACTAATGATACATCAGCTCCTTGTGTCACAAGTAAGTCAAACACTTGTCTGTGTCCCTTTACTGCTGCCATCATGACGGGTGTCCACCCGTACTGCACCCTGCCGTTCATGTCTGCATCCTTTTGTGAGAGGACATACTTCACCATGTCCACATGTCCTCGAAGACAGGCCATATGGAGGATGTTGTTTCTGTCAACACCCACTAATAATACATCAGCTCTTTCTCTCACAAGTAGGTCAAACACTTGCCTGTGTCCCTTCTCTGGTGCCACCATCAGGGGTGTCCGCCCGTATTGCCCCCTACCGTTGATGTCTGCAACCTGGTGTGAGAGGACATACTTCACTTTGTCCACATGTCCTCCAAGACAGGCCACATGAAGGATGGTGTCTCCGACAGCATCCACTAATGATATATCAGCTCCTTCTCTCACAAGTAAGTCAAACACTTGTCTGTGTCCCTTCTCTGCTGCCATCATCACGGGTGTCCGCCCGTATTGCCCCCTACTGTTGATGTCTGTAACCCTCTGTGACAGGACATACTTCACCATATCCATATGTCCTCCAAGACAGGCCACATGGAGGATGTTGGTTCCGTTATCATTCAATAATGATACATCAGCTCCTCCTCTCGCTAGTATGTCAAACTCTTGTCTGTGTTCCTTCCTTGATGCCTTCATCACGGGTGTCGATGCGTACTGCCCCTTACCGATGATGTCTGCATCCTGCTGTGAGAGGACATACTTCACCATGCCCACATGTCCTCCAAGACAGGCCACATAGAGGACGTTTTTTTCCGTCATCATCCACTAATGATACATCAGCTCCTTCTCTCACAAGTAAGTCAAACACTTGTGTGTGTCCCTTCTCTGCTGCCACCATCAGGGGCGTCCGCCCGTATTGCCCCCTACCGATGATGTCTGCATCCTGCTGTGAGAGGACATACTTCACTATGTCCACATGTCCTCCCAAACAGGCAACATGAAGGATTGTGTCTCCGACAGCAACCACTAATGATACATCAGCTCCTTCTCTCACAAGTAAGTCAAACACTTGTCTGTGTTCCCTCTCTGCTGCCATCATCAAGGGTGTCCGCACATATTGCCCCCTACCGTTAATGCCTGCAACCCTCTGTGACAGGACATTCTTCACATGTCCACATGTCCTCCAAGACAGGCCACATGAAGGATGTTGCTTCCGTTATCATCCACTAATGATACATCAGCTCCTTCTCTCACAAGTAAGTCAAACACTTGTCTGTGTCCCTTCTCTGCTGCCATCAGCAGGGGTGTCCGCCCGTACTGCCCCCTACCATTCATATCTGCAACCTTCTGTGAGAGGACATACTTCACCATGTCCACATGTCCTCCAAGACAGGCCATATGGAGGACGTTGTTTCTATCAACACCGAATAATGATAAATCAGCTCCTTCTCTCACAAGTAAGTCAAACACTTCTCTGTGTCCCTTTTCTGCTGCCATCATTACGGGTGTCCGCCCGTACTGCCCCCTACGGTTGATGTCTGCAACCTTCTGTGACAGGACATACTTCACCATGTCCATATGTCCTCCAAGACAGGCAACATGGAGGATGTTGCTTCCGTTATCATCCACTAATGATACATCAGCTCCTCCTCCTACTAGTATGTCAAACATTTGTCTGTGGCCCTTCCTTGCTGCCTTCATCACGGGTGTCCACCCGTACTTCCCCTTACTGTTGATGTCAGCAACCTTCTGTGAGAGGACATGCTTCAGCATGCCCACATGTCCTCCATGACAGGCCATATGGAGGATGTTGTTTCCGTCATCATCCACTAATGATACATCAGCTCCTTTTCTCACAAGTAGGTCAAACACTTGTCTGTGTCCCTTAACTGCTGCCATCATCAGGGGTGTCCGCCCGTATTGCCCCCTACCGTTCATGTCTGCATCCTGCTGTGAGAGGACATACTTCACTATGTCCACATGTCCTCCAAGACAGGCCATATGGAGGATGTTGTTTCTATCAACACCCACTAATGATACATCAGCTCCTTCTCTCACAAGTAAGTCACAAACTTGTCTGTGTCCCTTTTCTGCTGCCATCATCACGGGTGTCCGCCCGTATGTCCCCCTACCATTCATGTCTGCAACCTTCTGTGAGAGGACATACTTCACCATGTCCACATGTCCTCCAAGACAGGCCACATGGAGAATGTTTTTTCTATCAACACCCACTAATGATACATCAGCTCCTCCTCTCACAAGTAAGTCAAACACTTGCCTGTGTCCCTTCTCTGCTGCCACCATCAGGGGTGTCCGCCCGTATTGCCCCCTACTGTTGATGTCTGCAACCCTCTGTGACAGGACATACTTCACCATGTCCACATGTCCTCCAATACAGGCCATATGGAGGATGTTGTTTCCGTCATCATCCACTAATGATACATCAGCCCCTTCTCTCACAAGTAAGTCAAACACTTGTCTGTGTCCCTTCTCTGCTGCCACCATCAGGGGTGTCCGCCCGTACTGCCCCCTACCGTTCATGTCTGAAACCTTCTGTGACAGGACATACTTCACTATATCAACATGTCCTCCAAGACAGGCCACATGGAGGATGTTGCTTCCGTTATCATCCACTAATGATACATCAGCTCCTTCTCTCACAAGTAAGTCAAACACTTGTCTGTGTCCCTTCTCTGCTCCCTCCATCAGGGGTGTCCGTCCGTACTGCCCCCTACTGTTGATGTCTACATCCATCTGTAACAGGACATTCTTCACCTTGTCCACATGTCCTCCAAGACAGGCAACATGAAGGATGGTGTCTCCGTCATCATCCATCACAGGTGTCCTCCCGTACTTCAATCTACTTTTAACGTCTACACGATACTTAAATAAGATGCGTCTAAGCCAGTCCAGGTATCCCTTCTTGCAGGCAAGATAGAGGTCTGTATCAGCATGTAGGTGGTTCAGTGTCACTAAAGGAAAAGGATTAATTTGTCACAACAGTGAATAACATCAGAGCCAACGTCTCCCCTGTAAATCAGCTGCCCACATAGAAGAAGGTCAAATGTTACCCACTTACATGTAACCTCACACATGAGAACTACTCCCAATATAGGACTTTGAACCCTGTCACCGTCAGTCTAAATAGTGAAGATCACTGTTACGACGTAAATTGTAATATCGCTGTCAATTGAAATAAACTGTGATAAAATGTAATAACACTGCTGTAAAATGTAATACTACGGTAAATTGTAATACATGCTGTAATAACTTCACTGCGGAAAATTGTAAAAATTTAAACTGCGGCATATTGTAATAACCACTGCGTTAAATTGTAATAACTACTGCCACCATCAGGGGGGTCCGCCCGTACTGCCCCCTACCGTTCAGACCCGTGAAGATTCCGGGGTAGAATAGGTCTTCAGCAACCCATGCTTGCCTTAAAAGGCGACTATGCTTGTCGTAAAAGGCGACTAACGAGATCGGGTGGTCAGGCTCACTGACGTGTTTGATACATGTCATCGATCCCAATTGCGTGGATCGATGCTCATGATATCAATCACTGGACTGTCTGGTCCAGACTCGATTATATACAGACTGCCGTCTTATAGCTGGAATATTGCTGAGTGCGGCGTTAAACAACAAACCAACCAACCAACCAACCCTACCGTTCATGTCTGCAATCTTCTGTGAGAGGACATACTTCACTATGTCCACATGTCCTCCAATACAGGCAACATTGAGGATGTTGTTTCTGTCATCATCCACTAATGATACATCAGCTCCTTCTCTCACAAGTAAGTCAAACACTTGTCTGTGTCCCTTCTCTGCTGCCATCATCAGGGGTGTCCGCCAGTACTGCCCCCTACTGTTGATGTCTGCAACCTTCTTTGAGATGACATACTTCACTATGTCCACATGCCCTCCAAGACAGGCCACATGGAGGATGTTGTTTCCGTCATCATCCACTAATGATACATCAGCTCCTTTTCTCACAAGTAAGTCAAACACTTGTCTGTGTCCCTTCTCTGCTGCCTCCATCAGGGGTGTCCGCCCGTACTTCCCCCTACTGTTGATGTCTACATCCATCTGTAACAGGACATACCTCACCTTGTCCACATGTCCTCCAAGACAGGCAACATGAAGGATGGTGTCTCCGTCATCATCCATCACAGGTGTCCTCCCGTACTTCAATCTACTTTTAACGTCTACACGATACTTAAATAAGATGCGTCTAAGCCAGTCCAGGTATCCCTTCTTGCAGGCAAGATAGAGGTCTGTATCAGCATGTAGGTGGTTCAGTGTCACTAAAGGAAAAGGATTAATTTGTCACAACAGTGAATAACATCAGAGCCAACGTCTCCCCTGTAAATCAGCTGCCCACATAGAAGAAGGTCAAATGTTACCCACTTACATGTAACCTCACACATGAGAACTACTCCCAATATAGGACTTTGAACCCTGTCACCGTCAGTCTAAATAGTGAAGATCACTGTTACGACGTAAATTGTTATATCGCTGTAAATTGAAATAAACTGTGATAAAATGTAATAACACTGCTGTAAAATGTAATACTACGGTAAATTGTAATACATGCTGTAATAACTTCACTGCGGAAAATTGTAAAAATTTAAACTGCGGCATATTGTAATAACCACTGCGTTAAATTGTAATAACTACTGCCACCATCAGGGGGGTCCGCCCGTAATGTACCCTACCGTTCAGACCCGTGAAGATTCCGGGGTAGAATAGGTCTTCAGCAACCCATGCTTGCCTTAAAAGGCGACTATGCTTGTCTTAAAAGGCGACTAACGGGATCGGGTGGTCAGGCTCACTGACGTGTTTGATACATGTCATCGATCCCAATTGCGTGGATCGATGCTCATGATATCAATCACTGGACTGTCTGGTCCAGACTCGATTATTTACAGACTGCCGTCTTATAGCTGGAATATTGCTGAGTGCGGCGTTAAACAACAAACCAACCAACCAACCAACCCTACCGTTCATGTCTGCAATCTTCTGTGAGAGGACATACTTCACTATGTCCACATGTCCTCCAATACAGGCAACATTGAGGATGTTGTTTCTGTCATCATCCACTAATGATACATCAGCTCCTTCTCTCACAAGTAAGTCAAACACTTGTCTGTGTCCCTTCTCTGCTGCCATCATCAGGGGTGTCCGCCAGTACTGCCCCCTACTGTTGATGTCTGCAACCTTCTTTGAGAGGACATACTTCACTATGTCCACATGTCCTCCAAGACAGGCCATATGGAGGATGTTGTTTCTATCAACACCCACTAATGATACATCAGCTCCTTCTCTCACAAGTAAGTCACAAACTTGTCTGTGTCCCTTTTCTGCTGCCATCATCACGGGTGTCCGCCCGTATGTCCCCCTACCATTCATGTCTGCAACCTTCTGTGAGAGGACATACTTCACCATGTCCACATGTCCTCCAAGACAGGCCACATGGAGAATGTTTTTTCTATCAACACCCACTAATGATACATCAGCTCCTCCTCTCACAAGTAAGTCAAACACTTGCCTGTGTCCCTTCTCTGCTGCCACCATCAGGGGTGTCCGCCCGTATTGCCCCCTACTGTTGATGTCTGCAACCCTCTGTGACAGGACATACTTCACCATGTCCACATGTCCTCCAATACAGGCCATATGGAGGATGTTGTTTCCGTCATCATCCACTAATGATACATCAGCCCCTTCTCTCACAAGTAAGTCAAACACTTGTCTGTGTCCCTTCTCTGCTGCCACCATCAGGGGTGTCCGCCCGTACTGCCCCCTACCGTTCATGTCTGAAACCTTCTGTGACAGGACATACTTCACTATATCAACATGTCCTCCAAGACAGGCCACATGGAGGATGTTGCTTCCGTTATCATCCACTAATGATACATCAGCTCCTTCTCTCACAAGTAAGTCAAACACTTGTCTGTGTCCCTTCTCTGCTCCCTCCATCAGGGGTGTCCGTCCGTACTGCCCCCTACTGTTGATGTCTACATCCATCTGTAACAGGACATTCTTCACCTTGTCCACATGTCCTCCAAGACAGGCAACATGAAGGATGGTGTCTCCGTCATCATCCATCACAGGTGTCCTCCCGTACTTCAATCTACTTTTAACGTCTACACGATACTTAAATAAGATGCGTCTAAGCCAGTCCAGGTATCCCTTCTTGCAGGCAAGATAGAGGTCTGTATCAGCATGTAGGTGGTTCAGTGTCACTAAAGGAAAAGGATTAATTTGTCACAACAGTGAATAACATCAGAGCCAACGTCTCCCCTGTAAATCAGCTGCCCACATAGAAGAAGGTCAAATGTTACCCACTTACATGTAACCTCACACATGAGAACTACTCCCAATATAGGACTTTGAACCCTGTCACCGTCAGTCTAAATAGTGAAGATCACTGTTACGACGTAAATTGTAATATCGCTGTAAATTGAAATAAACTGTGATAAAATGTAATAACACTGCTGTAAAATGTAATACTACGGTAAATTGTAATACATGCTGTAATAACTTCACTGCGGAAAATTGTAAAAATTTAAACTGCGGCATATTGTAATAACCACTGCGTTAAATTGTAATAACTACTGCCACCATCAGGGGGGTCCGCCCGTACTGCCCCCTACCGTTCAGACCCGTGAAGATTCCGGGGTAGAATAGGTCTTCAGCAACCCATGCTTGCCTTAAAAGGCGACTATGCTTGTCGTAAAAGGCGACTAACGAGATCGGGTGGTCAGGCTCACTGACGTGTTTGATACATGTCATCGATCCCAATTGCGTGGATCGATGCTCATGATATCAATCACTGGACTGTCTGGTCCAGACTCGATTATATACAGACTGCCGTCTTATAGCTGGAATATTGCTGAGTGCGGCGTTAAACAACAAACCAACCAACCAACCAACCCTACCGTTCATGTCTGCAATCTTCTGTGAGAGGACATACTTCACTATGTCCACATGTCCTCCAATACAGGCAACATTGAGGATGTTGTTTCTGTCATCATCCACTAATGATACATCAGCTCCTTCTCTCACAAGTAAGTCAAACACTTGTCTGTGTCCCTTCTCTGCTGCCATCATCAGGGGTGTCCGCCAGTACTGCCCCCTACTGTTGATGTCTGCAACCTTCTTTGAGATGACATACTTCACTATGTCCACATGCCCTCCAAGACAGGCCACATGGAGGATGTTGTTTCCGTCATCATCCACTAATGATACATCAGCTCCTTTTCTCACAAGTAAGTCAAACACTTGTCTGTGTCCCTTCTCTGCTGCCTCCATCAGGGGTGTCCGCCCGTACTTCCCCCTACTGTTGATGTCTACATCCATCTGTAACAGGACATACCTCACCTTGTCCACATGTCCTCCAAGACAGGCAACATGAAGGATGGTGTCTCCGTCATCATCCATCACAGGTGTCCTCCCGTACTTCAATCTACTTTTAACGTCTACACGATACTTAAATAAGATGCGTCTAAGCCAGTCCAGGTATCCCTTCTTGCAGGCAAGATAGAGGTCTGTATCAGCATGTAGGTGGTTCAGTGTCACTAAAGGAAAAGGATTAATTTGTCACAACAGTGAATAACATCAGAGCCAACGTCTCCCCTGTAAATCAGCTGCCCACATAGAAGAAGGTCAAATGTTACCCACTTACATGTAACCTCACACATGAGAACTACTCCCAATATAGGACTTTGAACCCTGTCACCGTCAGTCTAAATAGTGAAGATCACTGTTACGACGTAAATTGTAATATCGCTGTAAATTGAAATAAACTGTGATAAAATGTAATAACACTGCTGTAAAATGTAATACTACGGTAAATTGTAATACATGCTGTAATAACTTCACTGCGGAAAATTGTAAAAATTTAAACTGCGGCATATTGTAATAACCACTGCGTTAAATTGTAATAACTACTGCCACCATCAGGGGGGTCCGCCCGTAATGTACCCTACCGTTCAGACCCGTGAAGATTCCGGGGTAGAATAGGTCTTCAGCAACCCATGCTTGCCTTAAAAGGCGACTATGCTTGTCTTAAAAGGCGACTAACGGGATCGGGTGGTCAGGCTCACTGACGTGTTTGATACATGTCATCGATCCCAATTGCGTGGATCGATGCTCATGATATCAATCACTGGACTGTCTGGTCCAGACTCGATTATTTACAGACTGCCGTCTTATAGCTGGAATATTGCTGAGTGCGGCGTTAAACAACAAACCAACCAACCAACCAACCCTACCGTTCATGTCTGCAATCTTCTGTGAGAGGACATACTTCACTATGTCCACATGTCCTCCAATACAGGCAACATTGAGGATGTTGTTTCTGTCATCATCCACTAATGATACATCAGCTCCTTCTCTCACAAGTAAGTCAAACACTTGTCTGTGTCCCTTCTCTGCTGCCATCATCAGGGGTGTCCGCCAGTACTGCCCCCTACTGTTGATGTCTGCAACCTTCTTTGAGAGGACATACTTCACTATGTCCACATGTCCTCCAAGACAGGCCACATGGAGGATGTTGTTTCCGTCATCATCCACTAATGATACATCAGCTCCTTTTCTCACAAGTAAGTCAAACACTTGTCTGTGTCCCTTCCCTGCTGCCATCATCACGGGTGTCCGTCCGTACTTCCCCCTACTGTTGATGTCTGCAACCATCTGTAACAGGACATACCTCACCTTGTCCACATGTCCTCCAAGACAGGCAATATGAAGGATGGTGTCTCCGTCATCATCCATCACGGCTGTCCGCCCGTACTTCAAGATACTTTTAACGTCTACAAGATACTTATAGAAGATGCGTATAAGCTGCTCCAGGTATCCCTTCTTGCAGGCAAGATAGAGGTCTGTATCAGCATGTAGGTGGTTCAGTGTCACTAAAGGAAAAGGATTAATTTGTCACAACAGTGAATAACATCAGAGCCAACGTCTCCCCTGTAAATCAGCTGCCCACATAGAAGAAGGTCAAATGTTACCCACTTACATGTAACCTCACACATGAGAACTACTCCCAATATAGGACTTTGAACCCTGTCACCGTCAGTCTAAATAGTGAAGATCACTGTTACGACGTAAATTGTAATATCGCTGTAAATTGAAATAAACTGTGATAAAATGTAATAACACTGCTGTAAAATGTAATACTACGGTAAATTGTAATACATGCTGTAATAACTTCACTGCGGAAAATTGTAAAAATTTAAACTGCGGCATATTGTAATAACCACTGCGTTAAATTGTAATAACTACTGCCACCATCAGGGGGGTCCGCCCGTAATGTACCCTACCGTTCAGACCCGTGAAGATTCCGGGGTAGAATAGGTCTTCAGCAACCCATGCTTGCCTTAAAAGGCGACTATGCTTGTCTTAAAAGGCGACTAACGGGATCGGGTGGTCAGGCTCACTGACGTGTTTGATACATGTCATCGATCCCAATTGCGTGGATCGATGCTCATGATATCAATCACTGGACTGTCTGGTCCAGACTCGATTATTTACAGACTGCCGTCTTATAGCTGGAATATTGCTGAGTGCGGCGTTAAACAACAAACCAACCAACCAACCAACCCTACCGTTCATGTCTGCAATCTTCTGTGAGAGGACATACTTCACTATGTCCACATGTCCTCCAATACAGGCAACATTGAGGATGTTGTTTCTGTCATCATCCACTAATGATACATCAGCTCCTTCTCTCACAAGTAAGTCAAACACTTGTCTGTGTCCCTTCTCTGCTGCCATCATCAGGGGTGTCCGCCAGTACTGCCCCCTACTGTTGATGTCTGCAACCTTCTTTGAGAGGACATACTTCACTATGTCCACATGTCCTCCAAGACAGGCCATATGGAGGATGTTGTTTCTATCAACACCCACTAATGATACATCAGCTCCTTCTCTCACAAGTAAGTCACACACTTGTCTGTGTCCCTTCCCTGCTGCCATCATCAGGGGTGTCCGTCCGTACTTCCCCCTACTGTTGATGTCTGCAACCATCTGTAACAGGACATACCTCACCTTGTCCACATGTCCTCCAAGACAGGCAATATGAAGGATGGTGTCTCCGTCATCATCCATCACGGCTGTCCGCCCGTACTTCAAGATACTTTTAACGTCTACAAGATACTTATAGAAGATGCGTATAAGCTGCTCCAGGTTTCCCTTCTTGCAGGTATGACAGAGCTCTGTATCAGCATGTGGGTGGTTCTGTGTCACTAAAAGGAAAGGATTAATTTGTCACAACAGAGAATAACATCAAAGCCAACGTCTCTCCTGTACATCAGTTGCCCACATTGTTAGAAGGTCAAATGTTACCCACTTACATGTTACCTCACACATGAGATCTACTCCCAATATAGGACTTTGAACCCTGACACCGTCAGTCTAAATAGTGAATATCATTATTACGATGTAAATTGTAATATCGCTGTAAATTGAAATAAACTGTGATAAAATGTAATAACACTGCTGTAAAATGTAATACTGCGGTAAATTGTAGTACATGCTGTGAAAAATTGTAATAACTTCACTGCGGTAAATTGTAATAACTGCGGCAAATTGTAAAAGCTTAAACTGCGGCATATTGTAATAACCACTGCGTTAAATTGTAATAACTTCACTGCGGTAAACTGTAATAAAGACTGCGGCAAATTGTAATAACTTAAACTGCGGCATATTGTAATAACCACTGCGGCAACTTGTAATAAAAGGTTATTCATTTGCAAACATACAAAGAACATACAAATTGTAATAGCATCTCTTAATCATTCCAAATTTACAACTAAATTCGAGTTAAGTGTTTCTTCGACCTTAACCAGATCAATTCCAACCTCCAGCATCTTTAAGGAAATATAAAAAGCTAATTTGCTTAAATTTCTATCATTTCTATTGAAAGACAGGTGCGGCAAATTGCAAGAAACTGCGGCAAAATGTAACGCCAAGTGCAGTAAATTGTAATAACATCTCTTAATCCTTCCGATTTCAAACTATATATTTGAGTTTCAGTGTTTGCTGGACCTAAATCAGAACAATTGCAACCTCCATCATGTTTAAGGAAATTACAAACAACGATTTTGTTTCAATTTCTCTCATTCCTATTGAAAGACAGGTGCGGTAAATTGAAATAACATTTCTTAATCCTTCCGATTTCAATTTGAATTCAAGTTCCAGTGTTTCTTCAACCTAAACCAGATCAACTCCAACCTCCAGCATGTTTAAGAAAATAAAAAAAGTGATTTTGCTTCAATTTCTATCATTTCTATTCAAAGGCAGGTGCGACAAATTGTAACAAACTACAGCAAATTGTAATGCCAAGAACGGTAAATTGTAATAGCATCTCGTAATCCTTCCGATCATTTCTATTATTTCTATTGAAAGACAGGTGCGGCAAATTGTAACAAACTGCAGCAAATTGTAATGCCAAGTGCAGTTAATTGTAATAACAGCTCGTAATCCTTCCGATTTCAAACTATATACGAGTTACAGTGTTTGTTGGACCTAAATCAGATCAATTGCAAACTCCAGCATGTTTAAGGAAACCACAAACAACGATTTTACTTCAACTACTGTCATTCCTATTGATGGGCTGGTGCGGCACATTGCACCAAAACTGCGGCAAATTGTAATAACATTTCTTAATCCTTCCGATTTCAAACTGAATTCGATTTCCAGTGTTTGTTCGACCGTAACATGATCAATACCAACCTCCACCATGTTTAAGGAATCAAAAAAGTGATTTAGTTTCAATTTCTGTCATTCCTGTTGAGAGGCTGGAGCAGCAAATTGCAAATAAAGATGTGTTGAAAGTTACATGTCCGTTTTATATCATTCGCATTATTTAGTGTGGGGGAAAGCCCATTTGTTGAAAAGACAGTATGGTGAATTGTCCGAGTGGGTAAATGTCCTCGACTCGTGATCAAAACATCATATTCAAGCAAAGATATATATTTACTGGAAGAGAAATTTTCTATCCATACCGGTCATTAACGACAGAGATCATCATAGGTAATGTATAAAATACTCTCAAATCTTGAACCTAACATTCCCCAGTCTTACCATTCGTAATTACATTTGTGAAAACAGAAGTAATAATATAAACACGCTTTTGCAATACACATTCAAGAAAGATGCAGTTATTATTTGTTTAATAACCTGAGCTTTTAATGATACCACATATAATAATGTATGTTGAATTACTGGCCTATATCACAAAGTGTTACAACAGAGAGACAGTGTTATTTTGTTCCATGACAGCTCTTCTTAGTTTTGCAGACTTATATACAATGCATGATTCTTTAAAATATCTTCATGTTTTCTGGACATGAGGGTATAACTTTTTGTTGTTGAAGGATTGTCACAGACGTTTGCTGAAATGTAATAATCCCTAGTTCCGAGTTTCCAATTCCGAGTTGTTAGACAGTGGGGTAGAGATGGTTTTAAAACATGAATTTTACCCGCTGTGGTAATGGACCAGTTCGAGTATAACTGAAATAATAATAATAATAATAATAATAATAATAATAATAATAATAATAATAATAATTGATTTGTAAAGTGCCTAATATCCATCGACAGTTGCTCACTGGTGCTGTGACAAGGTTAAAAAGTAATGTCTGTGTACATATGCCAACAATCAGGAGATATATTGAAAAGCTGAGGTGAAGAAGTGGGTTTTGAGGAGAGACTTAAACGTTTCCTTAGAAGCAGAGTTTCTCAGATTCAAAGGCAAAGAGTTCCATAACTGTGGACTGCAAAAGGAGGAGGCACGGTCAGACATAGCAGAAGTAGACAGAGGCTGATACAGTAGAGTTCAACCAGAGGATCCGAGAGCACGCTCTGAAGAGTACAGCGATATAAGATCTTTGAGATAGTCTGGATAGTCGCTATTGTTGAGGCAGTCGTGAGTGATGATACATATCTTATAGTTTATACGAAAGGAGACTGGAAGCCAGTGTAGTGCTTTGAGGACAGGACTGGTGTGATTGGATCTTGGAACTTTACAGATGCATCTTGCTGCAGAGTTCCGAATGCGTTGTATGGCTTTCATGGGAAGATTAGCATACAATGCATTGCGGTAATCCAGTTTGGAAGTAACAAAACATTGCATCAACATTTAAACTGTTGGAGTATCAAGTAGATGGCGGACTTTAATGATGTTATAGATGCTATGGTAGCATGATCTGCTGGTTAGTGAAATATGAGTGTCCATGGCCATTGTTGAATCAAAGGTGATTCCCAGATTACGGGCACTGGCAGTTGGGTTTACAGTGGTATCACCAATATGAAGGTATACAGAGTCAGGGTGAAGCTTTCTTACTTGCTGTCGCGAACCAAGGATTAAAAACTCAGTCTTCTCTTCATTGAGTTTGAGATAATTGAAGCTCATCCAAGATCGTATGTCATCAATACAGCGCTCAAGGGCGGCGAGGTTCAGAGAAATCGAAAAGGAAATGTAGATCTGGTTATCGTCCGCATAGAGGTGGAAGTTAAGAGCATGTTTCTGGATGATATCTCCAATTGGCAGGATGTAAATTGTGAACAGCAGAGGTCCAAGGACTGAACCCTGTGGTACACCATAATGACTGACATGTTGCAGAATGACGATCATGGACAGGTAGGTCTGGATCCACTGGAAAGATGTTCCCCGAATGCCAAGTCGTGTGTTAAATATTGTTAAAAGCTGCGTTGAACTCATTGATTTATTAATAAACTGAATATTTAATATTAAATAAATAAAGACATTCGAAGTTAATGGGAAAATTTCTCTACTCTGACACAACAGCGTTATATATATATATATATATGTTGTTTTCTACCCATATAGATAAATAATCAAAGATTTTCAATCATGTCAGGTTTGCAGACAGTTGATGTTGATGTTGATCACAAATAAGGAAGCCCCAGGTTCACTTTCAACAACACCTCTAAAGCCAGATTGTGTGAATCTAATAAGTGACAGTATTGACACATGCTTTGATCACAAACTGAGTAAATAAACTAATTGTTTTGGCATGAATTTTGAAGTTTGCACGATATTAATTTATACAAAATGATATATGAAATCAACATTTAATGTCATGAACAAATACATCTAACCAGTTCTAATTAGTTGAATTACTCAGAGTTAATCTACAGAATTAGGTGCAATGTGGTTATTTAGAATTTGCTAATATAGAGCTTGGTCACATACTCAATTCTGTTTTATATAATTAAATAATTAAACGTGTGTTTAATGCAAAATGAACTTTGAACTAATAACATCCAAAATGAGAAGTAGGATCAACAAGTCTAATATTCTCATAAGTTATCTGACAGATGGTGTATGATCGGGATTAATCTGTTTTACCACTTGGGTAATGAGCACTGGATACAATGGTAGTAAACCAGGTTCAATCATTTGGGGTTAAAAAATATGCCGCTGTTGTCTTGTCATTGTTCGTTAATGATGTCTAGTCCCATAAAGACGGGTTTTTTTTATTGTAAAGGTGTAAACGTTAAAACAGTTGGTGGTTGCATACACATTCTAGCTTTAATATACTCTGATGGCACTTTTACTGTCGGATACGCTTAAAGATCTGCAGTTCAGAATCGAGGATTTCAGGAATATTGTAGTTACTGAACGTTAACGCCAGAGAATAATCAGGATTATCAAGCGATCAAACATGCATCAAAGGCAATTGTGGTGAACATCACTGTGACCATATTGTGCTCCAACGGATGGAAGTGTTAATGTCGCTAAAATATTTACATATTTAGATCAGGTGCGTATATAAATATTTCTTGAAGTAGCATATTCACATATTTGTGTTTCATGGAAAAAATCTAAAATACACACTTATTCGTTGCATTTATATCACTTTTGGATCATGATCAGATATCTTTGTCTCCCGCTACGTTGTATGGTAGTGGTACATTTTCTGAAGTTAATCCTTAATCTAATACTCCGGTCTTGCGCGGTGATGCAGGACACCTACCACTGCCAATATACAAACGGATTATTTCATAATGGTCAATAATGAACACACCAATGATTATGCATTAACGTTTATAAAATGCAAAATTTCAGTACACGTTTGTAGCAATCATATACAAACGATGTAAATGTGAATGTAAAATGACAAAAGAAATTTGTAAGTTTAAAATATTAATGCATCACTAAAAGAAAAATGCATTTTATGTATATGGATAATCTAATGCAGTGTATCACTATTTTTCTTGATGTGGGGCACATAGTTTAATGATAAAAAATGTTATTATTTTACACGATTTTACAAAGCTAAGGAATATTGCAATACATGCGTCTGTTGACCCTGTTTTGGGATTAGCCACATTAGTTTCTTGGTGATGTTATGTATTTCATTACATAGTAAACTAGCGGCAGTGTTGTATTAGTTACTTCTGTTTTCAGTAACATATAGTTCTATCAGATAATATCAGAAGACCTATGGATATGATGCATGGTTAAGTGGAATGATTGCAGCGTTTAGTTTAATTAAAACATCACTATGAAAAACCTCACATCATTCATATAGCACTGTGCCAGTGCTAGACTTTAGAAACTAGCAGTATAACTAAACATGGATATTAGAAAAGCACTATTTCTACAGCGGAAGGCTTCATTTGTGATCGGTACATCAAGGAATATACAAAACCTGTTCGTTTGTGACTTTTGCCGCAGGGAATGTAAAGAAGCGGTTCAACACAATTAGGACTCATTTCTTCATAATTTAAAGCAAATTTTATACATCTATATTAAATAAGTGATTGACATTTTGGTCGGAGGCATATGATAGAATATATGAATTGCAAGGAACATTCCAAAAGGGTTACAGCACCACATACAAATTTCTTATTTTGCACTCTATAATACAGAGGTACATGTAAAGAATGCGGCAAATTATACGTGGCCTTTGTGTTTTTTACAAAGGCGTTCGATTTAGTTCACAGAAATAAACTATGGTATGTTTATAAAATGAAGAGGAGGGTCCGTTCTTATTCCACTATTGTTCTCAATCTTTATTGATGAACTTAATCATAACCCACAAATAGAATGTGTTACATTATATTCGTACCTTGGAATAATATTTTCTAAATCTTTGTCATGGAATGAGAATGTTGCAAATGCCAGGTTGCAAACAAAAAAGGTTATATGTGGTTTATTCAAGATATTGTCAGCAATTCAACACCTGCCATATGAGACATATTTCAAAACGTTGTAAAGAAATTTAGGTGATTCATTTATCGACATGCAAGCGTTTCTTACGCGGAAAATTATCAACTCTTAGTCATGTGGTAAGGGGAGAATTTGTCAGATATCCCATATATATACTCGCCACATAAAGAAACTGTACACGGAGAAAATATATTCTGGATTGAAATACAACACAGCAAGAACAAAATGATGCAGACGCTGTAGCAGCTGAATGATCGGACCATTAGAAAATGTCAACGGGTCCTGAACAACATCTGTTACGATGACGTCAGAAGATCAAAATGGAGTAGGGGGTCAAACGACAAAGTCAAAAAGTCAATAACGGGTATGACCACCCTGTGCGTGAATCACAGCAGTGCATCGGCGACGCATGGAGTCCACCAAATGGGCATGGAAGGCCTGGGGAATGGCCTGCCATATCCTCCTCAAATCCTGTGCCAAGTCACGGACGTTATCTGGAGGATGTGGAAGACGACGCAGACGGCGCTCCATTTCATCCCACACATGCTCTATTGGGGAGAGATCTGGAGAATTTGCAGGCCATGGCAGTAACATGACATTGTTATGGTGAAGGAAATCCATTGTGACCCTAGCCGTGTGGGGACGAGCGTTGTCCTGTTGAAATGTCAATCCCGGGCCATGACGTTGCAGGAAAGGAATGACCACAGGCCTCAGAATCTGATCTCTGTAGCCAACACCAGTGAGATTGCCCTGAACAACCACCAAAGGGGTTCGGTGCCGTGCTGTTATCCCACCCCAAATCATCACAGAGTCACCTCCAAAACGATTCCTCTCCACAATATAGTTGCGTGCATAACGTTCTCCCAAACGCCGGTAGACACGTTGGCACCCGTCACTGTGGGAAATGTTGAACCTCGATTCATCTCTAAAGACAACCTTTCTCCACTATATTCGAGGTTGTCGAAATGATTTCGACACCATCTTAGACGGTTGACCCGATGACGGTGTGTCAGGATGGGACGTATGGCAGGGCGTCGTGGTCGAATCCCGTACTGACGTAACCGATTCCTGACAGTGTTGGGATGGATACGGCGCAGTCAAAGAATTGTCTGGGACGTCGTTACTGCCGTTTGGAACCTGTGTCGGAGATGTGTAACTCGAATCCATCTGTCCTGTCATGGCGTCGTTACTCGGGGACGTCCTGAACGTGGGTGGTCGGCAACGTCATTTGTGTTCTGATAACGCCTCACCAATGCCGATATCGTGTTACGATGGCATTGGAGATGTGTTGCCACCTGTTGGTGCCTCATTCGCGCTCGGATCATTCCAATGGCTTCATGACGCTGTGCAGCTGTCAATCTTGGCATAATTTGCTTGTGATATGCTTGTGTCTGCGCCTGAGAAGTTTTGAATTTTTGAATGACCACAGATCATGCTTTCCAAAGTGACAGCGAATTTTGAATTGCACATGCTGTGACAGCTGCACAGGATGCACGTGCAGTAACACATTGCACGTCCATTGGCCCCCATCAATGACGTCATATCGCATGGCACGTGCATGAGCGTTGGAATGTCTCCAATAATTGCTGTGTTCAAACCTATATTTCATATGTGGACGGTGTGCCCATATATCTATATTTTCTCCGTGCACAGTTCCTTTATGTGGCTAGTATATAACATGCCTACAAACGTGCTGTAAAATACTGTTGACGAATTGTAAATTTTGTAAAAAGGTTAGAAAATGTTGTTGTTATGGCTATATTTGGGAACATCAATCTGTCGGTATTTCTTTCAGAATTTACAAGTCTTCCTACGAACAAAACTGGCTTGACGCCCTCCAAAACGGTTAAAACGTATAGTCATTCTTTGTATAAAACGTCATTTGGTCTTGAAATGTATCTAAATGTAATCAGTATCTCTAAATTTAGAAACTGTCTTGCAAAACTAAGATGTTGAAAACATCAGTTGGGAATTGAAACCGGACAACAATACAAACAACCAAGATGTGAGAGAGTACTATTTACTGTGTAACAAAGTGTATACAGACGATAACCATTTTATCCTTGAACTATTACATTCCAACAAACGTCTGTGTCAATCCTTCAATAAATGCATGTTATACCCTCATGTCCAGTAAACATGAAGATATTTTAAAGAATATTGTATTGTATATAAGTCTGCAAAACTAAGAAAAGCTGTCATGGAACAAAATAACAAAGTGTTTCTCTGTTGTAACACTATGTGATATAGGCCACTAATTCAACATACATAATTATATATGGTATCACTAAAAGCTCGGATTTTCAAACAAATAATAACTGCGTCGTTCTTGAATGTGTATTGCAAAAGCGTGTTTATATTATTACTTCTGTTTTCACAAATGAAATTACGAATCGTAAGAGTGGGCAATGTTAAGTAGATTTAAGAGTATATTAGACATTACCTATGACGATCTCTGTCGTTAATGACCGGTATGGATAGAAAATAAATTTCTCTTCCAGTAAATATATATCTTTGCTTTATCATGTGTTGAGGAAGGACATTTCCCCACTCGGACAATTCACCATACTGGCGTTTCAAGAAATGGGTTTTACCCCTAACAGAATAATAAAATTTATACAAAACAACAGACATGTGTTTTTCAATACATTTTTATATGCAATTGATCCACCTGCATCTTAATAGGAATAACACTGGAGATTGAAACAACATCGCTTTTTTGATTTCCTTAAACATGCTGAGGTTGGAATTGATCTTGTTAAGGTCGAACAAACACTGGAACTCGCATCAAGTTTGAAATCGGAAGGATTAAGAAATGTTTTTACAATTTACCGCACTTGGTATTATAATTTGCCGCAGTTTGTTACAATTTGCCGCACCAGCCTCTCAACAGGAATGACAGAAATTGAAACAAAATAACTTTTTTGATTTCCTTAAACATGCTGGAGGTTGGAATTGATCATGTTACGGTCAAACAAAAACTGGAAATCGAATTCCGTTTGAAATGAGTAGGAATAAGATGTGTCATTACAATTTACTGCACTTGTATTACAATTTGCCGCAGTTTGTTATAATCTGCCGCACCAGCCTCTCAATGGGAATGACAGAAATTGAAATAAATCGCTTTTTTGATTTCCTTTACATGCTGGAGGTTAGAATTGATCTAGTTAAGGTCGAACACACACCGGAACTCGCATCAAGTTTGAAATCAGAAGGGTTAAGAAATGTTTTTACAATTTACCGCACTTGGCATTACAATTTGCCGCAGTTTGTTACAATTTGCCACACACGCCTTTCTATATGAATATCATAAATTGAAGTAAAATCGCATTTTTTTTATTTCATTAAACATGGAATTGATCCTGTTAAGGTCGAAGAAACATTTAACCGTGTTAGTTGTAAATTTGGAATGATTAAGAGATGTTATTATAATTTGCGCACCTGTCTTTCAATAGAAATGATAGAAATTGAAGGAAAATCGTTTTTTTATTTCCTTAAACATGATGGGGGTTGGAATTGATTTTGTTGAAGTTGAACAAACACTGCAACTCGAATTCCGTTCTGAGTAAATACACATATCAAGAATTTCATGTACAACAGTCGTTTCAAAGTCCGGGTTTGATTTCCAAACAGCTTAGTCGCACATTTTAAACTTCATGTAGGTTTCTTTGTATGTTTGCAAATGAATAATCTTTTATTACAATTTATCGTAGTTAAAGTTATTATAATTTGCCGCAGTTTTTATTACAATTTACCGCAGTGAAAATATTTGACCACAGTTTGTATTACAATTTACCGCAGTGTTACATTTTACCCTGTGTTTATTACAATTTACCGCATTATTACAATTAACGTCTTAACAATTACCTCCCCCTATCAAGTGAAGCAAATTTATACATGATGATTTTGAATGTCCATTTAGTTATTTGTTTCCCAGCTTTACCATGAACTGGTTCAGCCACCATCTCTGTAGCATTTGGCATCTGTTGCTCGCCTTCATTTCCAACACGCAAGACTGAAGTTGGGCGGAAAACTTCATCTTCAATTGAAAAACGAAAATAGATAAGCTCCCAGTGTAGTCGGTGTTTCCCAGTTTTCATCTCACCACCATCCTAGGGATAAGCTCCCCCTTCGTATCACAGTAACCTTCTACATGACATATTAAAGCATATGTATGATAAGTCAATCCTGTCCCCCTCGGCATTATTAACACAAGGTCATAGCCCAGTATCGCCCTCTCATGTATTGCCAGTCAAGTCCGTTAGATGACGTGTCCTCATACCTCCACTAATGTTTTGCCACTTCCACCATTAAAAATTAATAAGTTCCGTGTTATTGGTTAGAAACAAAACATTCAGGTCTCCAGGGAATGGTAGGCATACTAGTAATGTAAAGGCACATTTTGGTGCCTACGCACAGGAAGCCTCGCCATTCCACCTGTGTAGTAGTTTGAGGTTCTTCTGTTGTTATATCGCTTGAATAGGGATACAAGCGGTGATATATTAACCTCACATATTCACTAACCTGTATGTTTTTGTGGTCTAGGATTGAAACGCCTCTTTAGGTTGTCTTTTTTCTTGCCAACATGGCCTACTTTATCCTCTTGACGTCTGTGAGTTGTCGGACCCCTGCCCAAGGATGCCAGACTGCTTGTTTCACTGCGGAACCCACTGTCCCCAGAAGCAAGAGACAGTCGGTTGAAGTACTCCAGCTCCTCTATTCTCTACGGATGCAAACAGTGCAAAATCAGGAGTAAATATCAATGTCAGAAATGTAGAAAAGGGGGTAACATTCCTGCTGGAAAGAAGAAGCCAAACAGTTTTTTTTACAAAGAACACATGTTATGCAGTAGATCAAGCAGATCCAGTAAAATATGTTTTCTGTAAAACCCTAGAACTCTTTTCTCGAGTGCTTTCAAAAAGAGATTACTTCTTAAAACCAAATCTTAAGGTCAATAAAAATAAACAATTTCCCAAGAAGAGCTATATTGCTCTGTAATCAGCTATCCAGGAAAATATGGAAATACGTTCACAAAATGGGATACTTACATATTCTATTGCCTTATCACTCTGCTGTGAACCAGGTGCCTCTTATTCGGTTTTACTTTCAGATTAGACTAACATTTAGTCTCTGAAATCTTATATTACACAATATCCTTCTTGACTCTAAAAATAATAAAATTACCTATATTATTTTTTCATAAAATAAATATATTCCACGGTCATAGTGCAGGACTACTTTCAGATGTGTGGATTAAGTTACCATCATCTTGGTTCACAGGAACTGAAATTTATTCTTTCAAAATATTTTTTTGAAGTTTACCTTTTTTGTTCAAAATGTTTTCTTTATTTTCATTTAAAGATTGTTACACTCATTACTATCTCGAACGTTATTTTCCAAAGAAGCGTTATCTTTAGACTGCATTTTTGATTTTTTTCAGTATTTATTGAAGACTGATTGATCAATTTGTTGCTGGGGTAGTGGATACAGAATCTCACTGGAAAGCGGATAGTTGATGGTTCGAGACCCTGCCAGCGTGCCAAATCACATGGAAAGATGACACTTGTTATCCTGCCTGGCGATTGGTATTGTCTCGACACAATAAACCCGGACACAAGTCGAGACTAGTATGAGCATCCACACACACATTCGTTCACGTCGCTAGGTGATTGAAACAATCTTGAACGCAGCGTTTAACCCCATTTCACCACACGTCACCTCAACATTGTATTTCTGATCAACAGTTACCTTTTTCAGTTGAATGTTTTCTTCCTCAAGTCTGATGATGCTACCTGAGAAAAAAATAGTCATTCCGTGAAACATGTAATATTCTGACAGAGATTCCTTCGTTTTGATTGGTCGTCAAGAAGTATCGAATATATGTTAGACCATGATCGTTCTGATTACCGCTTTACCGAAACAAAAAATATGTATTCAGATTTTGGACTTCTTTCGCAAACTGTTCCTTTTGCCAGTTTCAAATACTGATCTTATATCTTTGATGTTTATATCCTGAATTTGTACTTTGTAAATATGGGAATAGATGCTTTAAACATAAGTAACATTCTCAGAAAGAAATCAGTTGCTCTAAAAGTTCCACAATATTTCACATGTCAGAAACCATCAAACCTTTCCCTTTACGACACCTTCTAAAGTACACACCATTATTATGATGTCAAATAGTCAAAACAGCGTGTACCTCAAAGTACCTGATAGGGTAGCAGCAAAGGTCAAGCCATGTTGATGTTATTAAATTTTAAATTGATCTCTAAGTGATCAACGAGTCCAAGTACGATTTCGACAATATCATGAGCATGTGTCCATGAATGATTATCAACTAGTGATGATAGCAAGTGTTCACGAACAGACTAGCGTAACCTGCTTTACCGCTGGTCCCATGAAATTGCTCAGGGTTCATTTCGGTATACTCTAAGGTACATAGCTACATTTCTGTTGTTGACGACACCTTCAGCGTCAATTGGCAACAGTTGCAACAGTTTCAGTTTGACTGCGGGTATTGGATTATTGACTGAATACAACTATGCCTATGCTGCATTAGAATATCTGAATCTAACATAAACCTTTTGCATTTTTGTCAGCTGCAAAGATTGGAGTTTCCAATTGTAAATACTGGTATGTGGTATATCTAGTGACAAGTATATTCTGAACTTATTAAGATGATCTATTATCAAAACACTTATGTTGGAAACGTTCGCACCTTGAAGTGTGTCTGTTGAACATCCTGCTCTGTCAAGGCTTGGTTTGTTTTCTTCCTCTTCAAGTCTTACCTGTGATGACAAAAATCCAAACTGTTTGCATATGTTTATATAACAATTATACGGAAGCAAGATGTGCTGAAGATTCAGATTGCATTTCGTTAATATTATTCACATTTAAAGTTAAACTTTGTTAAAGCTGCAGATCTTCATCGCTGTATTGCCTTACTGTGTTACTGTCATCACTGTGTCTTGTACATGTGTCCCCTGAATCTGTAAATAATTGTAGAGGTTAATTAACGTCACGTGGCGCATCATGATATCACTAGCAGCAAACAGCTGCAGCTTAACACGCTGGATGCAGGGTTATTTTTCTGTTGCATATTTTCATAAGAGATGAAAAGGTAAACGTTGTGCGAGACGTGCGGCGGCACTGCATCTATCTCTTACTATAAAATTAGAATATTACATTTCCTGTCAGAGTGTGTACAATAATTGCCAAATGTAAGATTGATCTGGAAAACAGACTGATATTTTGTTGAGTGTGAAAACACTACAACTTTCAACACTTTTAATCGAACATCGATACAAGTACTGTACGACGAAACGTTTATTTGGCAGCTTCATGTAAACTATAAACGAACAAAATACTGCCGAATATTTTAATGACATTGTGATATATCAATTACATTTGTAAGGGTATTTATAACGTTACATATTCGATACAAAAGGTAAATTGTGAATGAGCGAAATCGAGTTTTCATTATGACGTCAAAAGAAGGCATACTCATGCACGAAGAGTAACCAAGCTGTTCCAACACAAATATCGACATGAAACCTTACACTTGTAGGTATACTGACAAATCATAATGTATGATAACATCGTACTACATAAACAATAAAGTGATAAAGAAATGGGTGGCCCTATCTAACATGTAAATTAGTCTTTAATTCCCCGCATACACCTCATTGTGTGATTTGACTGTTGACCAATTATCAATGCTGTACAAGTCTCATCAAATGTACTGACTGTTGGGCATCAAAAGATTGTTTCAAAACAAACAAATGTACATTTAATGTATTTTTTTAAATTATTTTGGAAATTTTGGCCATCAAGACCATAAGTCACAAACTCTTCACAAACAATGTATTGATGAAAGACCAGCCTTTGTACATTCAATGCATTATTATCAATATGCATTATCCAAAATTGCTATTAACTCATACCATGGTATTTTCAATTAATTGCTTTCTCACATTGAAACCATAACATATGTACGCACCTACTGTCCATGCATATTGGTTATCACAAATTTTCATGATGACGTTAAAATGTCTGACTCCTCAAATTATCATACAAAAGTCACATTAACGAAAAAATGTTCATCCTCTTCAATAACTATATTTAGACAAACATTGTTACAACATAAACATAATCTTGCTTCGTACAAACTATTTTCCCATCGTCTAGACTCAATATGCATATCAAGATTTTCACAACGAAATTTACATTTCTTACTGACTCTTAAAATGGCGACTAACGGGATGGTCAGGCTCGCTGACTTGGTTGATGCATGTCATTATATCCTAATTGCGTGGATTGATGCTCATGATGTCAGTCACTGGAATGTCTGGTCCAGACTCGATTTGTTACAGACCGCCGTCATATAGCTTGAATATTGCTGAGTGCGACGTTAAAAAACAGACAAACAAAACTGACTCCTAATATTTACTCGCCACTGTTCTTGTAACATACATTTACACTGTTCATAAAAAAACTTATATTTACTTTCCCATATATAATACAAAGCCAATGTTGACTTGCTACATCTTTACCCCGATTTAACTAAAACGAACCATGTTCAAACTAAATATATCTAACAAATCCGACCCTTGTTTGCCTTCCGGTAACATATTTTATCAAATTTTAGGGTACCTATGGCATTACATGGACAACAATTTTATCCAGTAGGATATGCAGTTTCATAACATACAGTAGAAATTACGGGTAGATCTACCTCCCTATAACTGTACCGTTTAAAAACACGTTCCATATTGATATCTTCAAACTTCTGAGGCGTAGATTACAATAGGTGCGATCATTCTGTCAAACACGAACATTGATATATTTACATTGAGCTTATAACGCTTAATAAATTAAACCTTAATAGATCAAGAGTAACTTTCCCAGCTTGTGATAAGTGTAGACAGGTTTTTCCCATCTTAGTGTACATGTAGTTGTGATATAGATACCATGATTTATTACCGACGTGGTGAAGATACAGATGGTAAGATACTAAATCCGTACGTCACACATGTTTCGTACAATATTGACGTCGTTTTATTCGTTTTGATTGGATAACCGTGACTTCAGTCTCACCGGAACTACTTTTTGCATTCATCTTAAAATCAAGAGAGGTCATTCATTTTTACAACCAGGCAGAACGGAAGTAATCTCATGAAAGCGAGAGACATTTATACATACTTTATTAAACTAAAGAAGATCGGCGTCACACACATCAAATTCGTTTTGCATTCTAAATTATTTAAGCACAGAACTACCAGAGACATTATATAAGCGAGATATGTCCATATGCAATGAACGACTACCGATTGTTCCCTATTAGCGAGACGCACCCGACTGCTTTCGCGACTTTCAGTTTGATTGAACTTGGTGAAATGAAGTCAGTTTAAACTACCTGGTCAGATATCTAGACCTACGTTAGATGACCCGGTTGTGCCATCAGTGCATGTGGCTTGTGACAAAGTGAACAGTTCCGATACAAATCATTCGAAAATTCCATGGGAGTGTGCCTGACTTCAGTTGTTTTTTTGTGGCATCACTAACATCACAAATGTGAAAATAACATTCCTTATCATGTTCAAAGTTTGTTGATTTTCACGTCTTACGACGCTTACTCTGATATCCCTCTTCCAAAATGGTAACGACAGGATACAAATTCAGCTGATAGATCAAGGAAACCGAACCATTTTGACTGCACAACCGGGACCCCGTCCGTGCGAAGGACCGAGTGTTATTCCGAGATTCAAACCACAGCGCTAAATGACTTTTAAAGTTTTCTGACAGTTGCCATGCGCACAAACAATATTGCACTTGAATTACCATAAGTTGAATAAATCTTTAAATAAGATCTTGAGCGTTGATGCCATCAATTTTGCAAATTCAACAGCAGAAACATGTTGTTAATGCGTATGCATAGAAACAATGCCCATATTTGGGCATATATCAATATTCATATGTGACCAGATTTGCAACCGGTTTTTGTTTGGTCTGTCAACGAAAGAAAGTTTGTTACACTTAAATACATATTTTGACGTGGGAAATAAATAAAATACAACAATCATTCTCTTTAGATACCATTTTTACGAAACTTGTGAACTTTCTATGGTATCTGACCGAACGAAAACCACTCGTTTCATTATCTAACGAGAATGAGTGTAGTATTCTCTATGTATATATTCAGATAGTGTTTCTAAAATATGTCTGTCATAGTTCCGTTTTTCAGTTGTTTTAAGTTGCCGACCTCTTCTGGATATCATGACCTTAATCTTTTGTCTCTTCACTTTCATGCCATAATTATTGTAAAACGTACATAAAATATCAATTTGTTGATGTAATCTACACATGCTTTCGGCATTATTTACCATGTCATAAGGTGGGGAAATCTTCCGGAAGATTACCCACATATATACCACTGCAGTCAGATTGTTTGATCCTTTCAATAAATATCATATCAATATTGGACATATTTTTGTTCATTACATAGTAGTTGTTTTTCTTTATTTCGTCTCAGAATAAACAATGAAAGACACCTTGTGTGGAATTATCAGGATAATCGTATAAGGTTTGTCATTGGCGTGAACGTCAAGGTCAAAATCCACCCACCACTATCAATGAACTTGGTGTTTCTCTCACTGATAAATGGAACAACATGCGTCAAGCTGACATTGATCGACTCGTCAGAAGCATGCCTCGAAGAATTCGTGCATGTCTGGCCAACAGAAATGGTTTTACGCGTGCCGTTGGCTGCAAAAGGCAATTTTGAATTTGACCCCCGACCTCTTAAAGACCTAGTACTCCACCATCTCAGTAAACCAGCTGTTTGAACCCATTAGATCTGATCGCTTACTCATCGTACAACAATATTTACATATGTCATCACCTCTGGTGACCGACCTTTACTCAATGGCGTCATCACTGACATTAGTACGCGGGATTTTCAGAGGAGAAATTTCGTTTATTCAGGAATCGTATCAACATAATGTATCATGTAACTAATCAGAAACTAATCTGACAACCTGCGTATTGTTTTTTGCTTTTAAAGTTTTTCATTTTTACCAAGAGAACTGGTCAGCAATGCAGATAACTACCGTCGTCTTGATTTTGTGTCAGTCATGGCGTCAAGCAGAACGGAAACCCTAATAATTTTCACTTTACAAAATCAATGTAAAATGTTTCTATTTATAATTCCATAATCATAACTACGATTCCATTTCCATGCATATGATAGATGCCAATGTATGCAACTAGTAGACGATGGATCTCTCGAAATAGGAGAAACACTGTAAAATCTGAATTTTGCTAGGTTTACATTTTAATCAAGTACAGATTTATTTAACGATTTTCTGGTTGTGCGTTTTGTACAATATAGTCAGTTGTTTCACCCCTTTTATATATTGTAATCAGGGGATATGTTTATTTTGTTGTTGAAGAACTATGAAAAGTATATAAAAATGTGTCATGTACAAACATAATCATGAACAAATACATATCCAATGTCAAAAAATATAATTATTTGTTTGTTTTGAAATATTACTTTTGTATTTGATTTATGTGAAAGCGGTGCCTGACAGATTTTCGTCTTGTCGAATTAAAGTACACGTTCAACATCTGTACTTTTAATTTGTATCTATTCAAGACATTTACATTTACATTAGACACAGTAACATCCCAGCTTGCGCTGTTTTTGCTGGTTTTGTATGTGTAACATAACGATTAATCTTGTGAGACCTCCAGTGTCAGTCAAACGACGCCTAAATGTTCATCGAAAGTGACAGCGACACCGACTAAAATATATTATAAGGATATATCAGCCGTTCCACAAGTGAAAATTACACCACCTTTATAATGAAATACAACACTCGTTTTTGTTGTACATACCGTCATATGGTTTGAGATATTCTTAAAGCATATCGTAGATTTCCGGGAACTTATTTCTCGGCGAACAATTTTCCCAAAAGAAGATATGGAGTGATTTGTTTGGCTTCACATTGCCAAGAAATATATACAAGTGTCGCCATAAGTTTTGAACACTTTGGGCATACGTGTTTCTATTTGGGGAAAGGTTCAGGTTGGAAATGACACACCACTCGTTCTTATAAAAAAGGAAAATATCACCTTTGTAATTCCGATAATCGCAAAAGACCAGGCAAAATACCGTTAATTAAGACACGATTGATATTTCCAATATTAGAGAAAAAACAACTTGTTATAAATCCTCCATATGAGTCATTGCAAACTCTTGGGAATTACCCTGCCAGTAGGTAACACATACAAATAGGAATTGTATACTAGGAAATGTGTTGATGTATACTCAACAACAAAAGTTCCTGTGACACCAATATTTTAGTGTATTTTTCCAACAAGTAAAGTTTGGTTTTTAACATTGTAGTACATGTATGGAATCAAGTCACAAAAACGCAACTGCTACAGAAAAGCATGCGTTCCATGAAAAAGTTGACTTTTATGCAAGCCCCATGTATTCACTACCAAAGAGAATGGGTATAACAACATGTGCGCCAACGGGATTCCATATGCATTGTTTAGCATCGTGCTGACAACAACCACTCAGAAAAACAACCAAATTTCGCAATTATTCAACATAACGAAATGCCACGCCTGTCCGAAAATGAGACAAGACAACTGTATTCAAACAACACACCTACGAAATCGATTCCAGCCAGCAACAGTGACTGCAAGAAGCATCCCTGGTCTTCGACGAATATCTTCACAAACCGTACGTCGCCGTCTCAGATGTGCAGGGATTGTCGCCAGAAGACCCGCCAGGCCATCTCATCTTGACCTACCGTCAAGCACATATACAGTGGTGGAGACAGCATCTACGCTGGTCGGCCATGCAGTGGGGACAAGTTCTATTCATTGACGAGTCTCGTTTTCACCTAAGCCACAGCGATGGACGGATTCGAGTGTACCGACGTCGAGGTGAACGTTACGTCAATCATTGTGTCATGGAAGAAAATCGGTTCAGGGGCGGCAGCGTTATGGAATCGGTTGGGATTACAGCGGACAGAGGACCCGTGTCATACTGGTAGAGGGAAATCTCAATGGACAGCGCTACCGCGACGTGATCATCGGCCCTGTTGTTATACCGTTTTTGCGTCGTCATGGCCCAGGCATTATATTTCAACATGACAACGCCCGGCCTCATATTGCTCACCTTGTTCAGGATTCTCTTCAACAAAACAACGTGAATGTCATCCCCTGGCCGGCTCGCTCCCCTGATCTCTCACCAATCGAGCGATGCGATGGGATGCGATGGATCTGCGCCTTCGACGTCAACCACGTGTTCAACAGACACTCCAGGAACTTCGAAACATGCTCCAGCAGACATGGACAGATATCCCACAGGACTTTGTACGACGCCTGGTCCATTCCATGAGACGAAGATGTGTTGCTTGCATCGCAACCAGAGGTTGACACACACGCTATTGATTTGTAAATTGACATTTTTGCATGTTCATGGTTTTTTTAAGTAATGACGCATTTTTGTAAGTAAGTATGGCAAATTAAACCATTTGAACACTTACAGGAGTCTTTTATCTGTCGCAAACCAAAATTGTTTCAGATTTGGCAAAAAAACATAACTTTGCATTAAATCTTATTCAATGTCACAGGAACTTTTGTTGCTCAGTATATATACGTTTGTCAAATGGATAAACCACATATATTGTGTGATATTCTGTCAACTGTATAATTATTATATTTTGATCTAAATCATATGATGGTGTGATTGAATGTGAATTGATTGGCTGTTCCCTGAAGGCTGCATTCCAACTGGCTCACCTTATCTTTTCGGGTTCCACCTTTGACTGATAATTCCCAATCGGCATGATTCATAGTATTGCCAATTGAATTCCTACATGTATCCCTTGGGGACATGATTCATAGGATTGACAATTAATTTCCTACCTGTATCCCTGGGGGGCATGATTCATAGGATTGACAATTAAGTTCCTACCTGTATCCCTGGGGGCATGATTCATAGGATTGACAATTAACTTCCTACCTGTATCCCTGGGGGCATGATTCATAGGGTTGACAATTGATTTCCTACCTGTATCCCCGGGGGGCATGATTCATAGGATTGACAATTGATTTCCTACCTGTATCCCTGGGGGCATGATTCATTGGATTGACAATTGATTTCCTACCTGTATCCCTGGGGGGGGGGGGGGGGGCATGATTCATAGGATTGATTAACACATACAATTAATTTCCTACCTGTATTTGTGTCTTCTCCAACCATGACGAATGTTATTTCTTCCCTGTCAGACTGGTATGGGCTGGACCCGACTGAGGTGTCACTGCTGCTGTCGGACATGGTGCTGCTTGAGTACAGCTGGTGGTGCTGCTTGAGTACAGCTGATGGTGCTGCTTGAGTACAGCTGGTGGTGCTGCTTGAGTACAGCTGGTGGTGGTGCTTGAGTACAGCTGGTGGTGCTGCTTGAGTACAGCTGGTGGTGGTGCTTGAGTACAGCTGGTAATGCTGCTTGAGTACAGCTGTTGGTGCTGCTTGAGTACAGCTGGTGGTGCTACTTGAGTACAGCTGATGGTGCTGCTTGTGTACAGCTGATGGTGCTACTCGCGTTCAGCTGATGGTGCTACTTGAGTACAGATGATGGTGCTACTTGAGTACAGCTGATGGTGCTGCTTGAGTACAGCTGATGGTGCTACTCGCGTTCAGCTGATGGTGCTACTTGAGTACAGATGATGGTGCTACTTGAGTACATCTGATGGTGCTGCTTGTGTACAGCTGATGGTGCTACTCGCGTTCAGCTGATGGTGCTACTTGAGTACAGATGATGGTGCTACTTGAGTACAGATGATGGTGCTGCTTGTGTACAGCTGATGGTGCTGCTTGAGTACAGCTGATGGTGTTACTTGAGTACAGCTGGTGGTGGTGCTTGAGTACAGCTGGTGATGCTGCTTGAGTACAGCTGTTGGTGCTGCTTGAGTACAGCTGGTGGTGCTACTCGAGTACAGCTGATGGTGCTGCTTGAGTACAGCTGGTGGTGTTACTTGAGTACAGCTGGTAGTGGTGCTTGAGTACAGCTGATGGTGCTGCTTGAGTACAGCTGATGGTGTTACTTGAGTACAGCTGGTGATGGTGCTTGAGTACAGCTGATGGTGGTGCTTGAGTAAAGCTGTTGGTGCTACTTGAGCCTACTGATGGTGCTACTTGAGTACAGCTGATGGTGCTACTTGAGCATACAGCTGATGGTGCTACTTGAGTACAGCTGGTGGTGCTACTTGAGTACAGCTGATGGTGTTATTTGTGCTTCCTGATTGGTGCTTTTTGAGTACAGCTGATGTCTACTGAACAGTATGTTTTGATAATGCTTTCCACAAAATGATATACTATTTAGGAAATGCTACTTTCAAGTTAGAATTCATGAGTGCTACGGAATTTCTCAAGCCATTCAACATTGTTCATTCGTCTTACCGTGTTGAGTTTTTCATCGAGAATGTAGGATCTCGGCCCATCTCTATCATAAAACACAACTCCATCGCAATATCGAATAGCTACTTCCATAACAAAATGTTGTCTTTGGGTAGGATGAAACGCTATGTTTATCAGGTCACTAGGAGCGTCGGTAAACTTTCCATGCCTTGTCAGTACACACAGATCAGTCTCAACCTTCCTGTAGATACTTTCTATCAAGGATGCTTGATTCACATGTAGCTTGAAACCAACAATGTCTGATACTTTTGTTTGATAACCTCTTTCTGTGAGAACTTTCTTTTCGTTAACACCCAAGTAGTATGACCCGCCTTGAACCAGCTTTGACATAGAAGTTATATTGTCTTTCAGCTTAAGAATGTGCCAGATGTGATCAGTCAGCTTTCCCACATTAGCTTGTATACGCTGAATCTGTTCAGTGTTGTCTTTAAATGCTTTCAACTGTATATGTCGATCCTCATAAAAAGTGTGAACATTACAGGGAAGGTTCCTTAGAATAGCTTGGTCCTTCGGATTTGTTTCCGTTTTATTCAATACTTCCAAAAGGGTCAATGAATTTATTACCAGGTTCTCATTATCATTGTTTGCCTTAGTGTTGAAATCAACCGTAACAACACCAGCTGTCTCGCTAACTTTAACTACAAGGACGTCACTTACGTCTGTGAATTTCGGCTCATCGCTAAGAAAATAACGTTCGTATGAGTCAGTATAAAGTTCACCACCTTCCAGTAGGTTTGTAAATGTCTTTACTACAAACTCATCAAAGTATTCGAGACACTTATCTTCTGATGATATCCCCTCCACGTGTACAAGCAACACTCCCCCGCCACTGTTACGTAACGCCGACACTGTTTTTGCTACTATTCCCAGAAATGACGACTTTTCTTTGCTTTTCTTTCCCCTGATGATGCTATATTCTGCATGCAGTTGTATCTTAGCGAGTCGAGGACCTCCCTTGTGTTCGTCTTCGTACCTGTGTCCTATTGACGCGCAGACTTGGCATCCAACTAAAACAGAATACCAAACATATTCATCATATACTACTTCGAACTGGAACTGGTACCGGGAACTAGTTGATCAAAGAATTCAGTCCTATTCACCTAGTCATACAATACATAATGAAGTAGAATATTTCAACATGAAAACATGCTGCAAATTTTGCATTTGAAAATGACCGTGTACACAAGGCAGTTACTGGAAGTCACCATTGGACTTCATTGTCCACCAGGGCGACCTGTAGGGGAACGAAGTCCTGAATATGTTAGCCCTTAACCAGATCATAAAACGGAGATATAACTGACAGAAATATATAGCAAATTTAATTAGCAGTTTAAAACAATGAATTATTATAGAACACTAGTGATTACAAAAACATGTACACGTAGAATAGGTTGTCAGAACCGATCCAAGTGCTTGCGGTAAGGGGCGAATACATTCGATCTGGTGGTCAGGATTTCCACATTGCGTATCATCTAACAGCGAATATGTGAATTGTATACTCATGCTTTTGTCTAATTCAGACTTGACGGTTTTCACATCCACTATATTTTTGGTAATCACTTCACATATTACTTGATCATATTTACATTTATATACAATAACCAGACTATATGTCTCACAAGACAATAAAAGTTTTGTAGAACCAAGGCCTGGCGTATTCATGCCTTAACACAATTCATACATATCATCTACAACCAGTATTGTAAGGGTTAATACCTGTCAACTCTTCTGTTTCACTCTCAACGTTGTACATGCCATCTGTGAACAAACAAGAGATGCAACATAAACATCGCCATGAAGTATAATCCGTTTAGCTGTTTTTCATAAGTAGATGACCAAAGTCGAGACGTTGCCGATCATAATGCTTTGATCAAATAATCTTCCAGGGAGCCGTGCATACTTCTTTCCAGCTCAAGAACACGCATATTGGTAACTGGACGTTCCTGTTTTCGTGGACGTTTAACCTGAAGAAGTCTGGTATGTGCGGCAATGCATTGGCATTCATCAAGCTCGAAAGTACATATTTGTTTGGTAACTATGTCAGAAAAGGGTAGAAAATAGAAACATCCGTGTACTGTTTCCAACAGTTGCAGGCAACGCAAAAGTGCTACCGGAAGGCCATATGGACACATGGTGGCAGTCAACTAATGACAGGTGCTACCGGAAGGCTATATGGGTAACTGATGCAGTTAACTGACGACAGGTAATGCCGGATGGCCATATGGACACATGGAGGCAATCAACCCACGACAGGTGCTATCGGTCGGCCATATGGATAAAAGGTTGCAGTCAAGTCACGACAGGTGTTACCAGAAACCCATATGGCTAATTGGAGGTAGACGACTCACGACAAGTGCCACCGGAAGGCTAAATAGACACATGCTAGCATCTGTTGGATTGCCAAGAAGAACCTTTAGTTTATTCATGCATGTTACCAATTTTCAAGTATGAATACTGAAAAGAACATATGAGTTCTTTTGTTTGTCACTTTTACATCCAAATAACCATAATGTCTATTAAAATGATCTCACCATGATAAGCACTTTTCATTCTTGTGCATTGTGTTGTTTCACCTCACCACGCCCTGAAATGTAATTCATATTACAGTAATTAATTGCGTGTCAACAAGCTTATAATACATTTGCTTTTCAGGTGAGCGTTATCCTTAAATTGATCAACAACTTGCACTTACTTAAACTGATTTACTGTTATATATTTCGACAGACATTTCACCAAGAATGGTAGCGGCAAAATTGTTTACATCAATTACTGACTTATTATGTTCATTTAATTCGAACAACAAACCGACTGAATTTTAATCCTGGAGGGCAAAAAACTTTCCGCAGAAACCTACATGTGCTTGTCAGGCTACGGTGACTTGGTTGAGTGGAAGTAATCGTACCCGGTGGCGTGGGGCGTTGCTCATTATATCAATCACATGGTTATGTACAGACTGCAGTGATGAATATGGAATATTGATGACTATGGTATGAAGAAGACATTCACTCCCATACAAAAGAGGAGGAAGACCAGTCACTTTGGAAATAGTGAGTGAATGAGGGAGTATGGTTTTACACCGCTTTTAGCAATATTCCAGCAATATCATGGCGGGGGACACCAGAAATGGGCTTCACACATTGTATCCATGTTGGGAATCGAACCCGGGTCTTAGGCCTGACGAGCGAACACTTTTAACTTTTAGGCTACCCGACCGCCCCTTTGCAATTAGAGTTCCGTCAACTACCATCTACAGGGCGAGCAAAATGATATGTGACCCTCTTGGTGTTTTGAACAATTAGACAGTGATGCCAAATTAAACTTAATATGTCAAATGTCCAAATGTTAAATATAGGTGGCCCAACAAACACTTTGAATTTATAACTATAATATCTATAACTGTGAATACATTCTGAACCATGTTTAGAACAAGCTTAATCACTCGTACAAAAACGGTTAACTTTTAAGCCATGTTTCTCATTCGCTGATTGAAGTAATCAATGACCTGATCAGGTCTTTGAATGAGATAAAAACATAAAGCCTACACAGGGGCATTCAAAACGTTCACATTTCCACTTGCTTTACACGACTCCACGGACTACGACGCCATGCCAAGATTGATTTCCGATGAATGTCACATGGCACTAGGTATGTTGCGATCTGGTACCACTCATCCCAAGGCTGCACAACGGTTTAGTTGCCATCGTAACGCGATATCAGCGTTATCTTGTTGATATGCATATCAAAATATTGGTCTACACTTTACCCCTGCTCAAGACCGGTGTTTCCGACTTACTCATCTGCGCAATCGGCTTCAAAATGCCACAACAGCCGGAAGCATTCCCAACTATAGGCGGATACATCACCAGACCATCAAAAACCGCTTGATAAATTACGGTTTAGGTCCACGCATACCTGCAATGCACTCTATTTTTGACTCAACGTCATCTCCAGGCTCGTGGTGCAGACACCGTCTAAGGCATCCTCTGTACTGTTGTAGACGTGCGCAATTTACTGACAATTCTCGTTTAAACCTTTCATTACCAGAAAGCCGTCTTTCGGTATCGCTACGTATATGCATGTTTTGTGAAGAGAAATCGCTATGTCGGAGGCTCTGTAATTGTGTGGCGTGAAATCACTGTACGGAAAAGAACACCTTTGATTTTCGTTGATGGTAATTTGAAATCATTTGATACCTGAAAGGTTATGAGCCTAATTACGAAGGAGGTATAGTACGTCCTTAACATATCCACTACAATAGATATGTCTCATGAGAGAGTCGAGATCATTCTCAGGACTGAACTGGACATGACAAAGGATTCAGAACTCTGGATTCCACTGCTTCGGACTCCAGGGTTAATTATCTTTCGTGAGACTTTACATCCCTTTCAAGCATACCAATCTGAATTTGTCGATAGATTCAGAAATAACGTGTGCCGCAAACGAAGGTCAAAGCGTTGAAGATGACGTTTTATGTGCAGAAAATGCGTTCAAGTGTGTAATGAACTGGAATAGTCCCATCAGACAGTACGCGTCTGTCATTGCCTGTGTAAAAAATCAATACATACTGTACATTTGCTGACAATGCTATCCATGCTGCATAATTTAAATACTTAATACATATATATATAATATATAATATAAATAAATATATTATGTGCTTGCGAACCTTTTCCTTGAAGCTGTATTAAAAAGAAGATTATAAGATTCAACATTTGTTTCAGATAAAAAATCCAAAGTAGCAAGTACACTACTGCCTAGAAGTTCATTCCCCTTACACGCATGGGCAACGCGTTACGCAACCAGTGTGCATCGGGTTGGTCACGCGTGTGATACCCGTGTGCAAGGCGTTGCACACGGCGGTGCACCCCGTCCGCCACTCGTGTGCAACGCGTGACACACTCATTAGAGGGGGAACAAACTTTTGACCAAAGGAGGACCCGTCTTAAGCTGAACCTGGAGGTGGTAACAAGGAGAGAACATTTTGTTATCCTGACGAAAAATGATAATACACATGTATTTGCTAATGTCTCCTTTCTTTATGTGATTTTGTGGGAGTAACATGAATACTGTTGTGTTTAAATAGATCTGTCTTGTTTTATACGACCATTGCTTCTAAATCCGATGGTGTTAAGAGAATACATGGTCCTGGAACATGTTATTGCAATTGAAATGCTTTTATTGTGATTTGACATAAACCGTCTGTAGTACGACTTTCAGTGATAATATGTATGAGGTTTGGCGGCGCATTGTTTTTATTGGACCCTAATTACTTTATGATGACTTGGACTCTTTACCTCAGCTCCATAGCCGTGAGGCTGGAAAAGAGCAGCATGTAATTAATGAGGGTGGGTTATATCATTGAGGATACACTTGAGGGAGAGAATACTAATTACCGTACTACAGGAAGAGACCTGTAGACGTAAGCGCGGGGTTGTGTTTTAGCTGGCCGTTCGATAATGGCCGCTAGGAGAAGTGAGCTTTGACTGCGTCATCTTAAATAAATAATAAGATACAGCAGTGTTATTTTCACGGGTCTGTTGGATAAACTCCCAGCGCTACGGTCAATGTATCTTCTACTTGATCCTTGATACATCATTTTGGCATTCACAATATATAGTATTTCAACGTACAAAGGAGCACTGATCTAAAGCAATTCCGCGGGAGAAGTTGTTACCTGTGCATTACTGTATTTTCCCAGTGAGTACCCGGATGATATAGCAGAAATCTAGACTTGTTCGCGACCTGTGCTCGCCATTCGTAAGCGCATTTTTATTGAAAGTAGAAGGACGTATGGTCACAATGATCAACAAAAATGAAATACAGTTTTGGAAATGTAGGTATATTTGTGGGGAGCATGGGTAATGGTGATGCAGTTTTGGTAAGTCACTTGCTTGGTAATTGTGCGATCTTTGTGTACACTATTTTGACTTGCAACACAAAGTAAATATTTCATCTGAACATTGCTTATTTTACCGTGTGTATATGTTTACATTCAAATTGTAAACAGATTTCACTAAGGCAATTTATTAAACGCCTTAATATTCAGTTTATTTTACAAATTAACTGAAAAATATGTCCATCTTTATTAATATGATAACGAATTCCAAATATTTGTTAATGTTTAATATCATCACCAAGTACAGTTCTGTATTGTTTGGCTTCTTTTCTTAGCATAATTAATATATTGTGATGTGTTTAAGCTCTTTTGATCGTCTTTATCATTTTTAGTCAGTCGGTTAAATAAATGAATGGATTATTCAGTCAATTTGTAAAATGACTGAAATATTTAGATATTTAATAAATTGCCTGAGTGAATCATATTTTATACATTGACTGTAACATATACACGCTTACAAAAGAAAATACTTGTGAAAACAACGTCTATCGCGCATCGAAAAACTTCCCAACCAAACGGAAAGGAACAAGAAGGATTCTGTTCAAAGCTGCAGCGAATGAATGAAAACAAAATGCAAATATCATTACATACCTACCAAAGTTATAAAGTATCCGGGAATATCAACATAAAGGAACAATATCCATTTTGTCTGCAGCTGTACAAAAATACTTATTCGATGTCAAATGTCTATGTGAGAATCAAATACTTTAATAAAAATTATTTGGAAACAATATTTGGAATATATATTAAATATATTAAAATATTGAAATATATTGTTTTTAAACGTTATTTAAATGTATCGAATATTATAACCCGTGTTTGTTTCTTAACTGATCACTTAGTTTGTTTCAATTGTTTCACATAGGTGCCAAGTTAGCTGAGAAAGCCCACGTGACAACTATTTGTATAATGTCCACGGTTCTTAAAAACATACATTGAGTTAGATAACAATGAACAACCAGTCAGTGTATTATCGGTTACCCTTTGAACAAAGTATGTTGTTTTTACATCTGTACTTCGCGCCATGATATGAGTGTATTCCCTAGGTTTAGTAAACCTACCTTCACATGTAAACACTTACTTTTGACATATCCACTGTGCAAGATAACAGTAATTAATCAATCAACGTATTTCCTGTTGATCCTTTGATGTCTGGGAATGATCAGTTGATTTACAAATAAAGTAAAGCAACTGACCATACATCTCTTGCTGGGCTGCCACGTGCATATCACATAACTCCCATTCCACCTCACTTCAAAGTGAATTACGACAAATTCACAAGTGTAGGGTTATACCAGAAAATGTGGATGACAACAAAGTAGTAGTAATTGTATCATCCACGCAATCCGAAATCCGCAAATGCTTTCACTCAGGGATACTTTTTTATTATTAAACTGTAACCATCAGGGGTATTTCCAAATAACGACATCCGATGAGCTTTCGCCGTTATTTGTCTGTTTGTTTAGGCTGAAGAAATTAATTACCATGCGCCCTTTGTGGAAATCTTCATAAATCACGGGTAACCAATCAGTTTTCAAAAATGCGTAAGCTTATTTAGCTGTCCTTGCAGACTGGTAGCCCAGTCTCTTGTCACGCTCGGTTGCGTTAACGAGCAAATTGACTCACGGCAGCTAGAAAGCCCAAGCCGAAATCCAAAGGTCGTATTAGCTGAAGAATCAACCTTCATT